TAACATATACATATATATATATATATATATATATATAATTATACACATAGACTTAGTTTACACTGTGAGAAATAAACGACAACATGAGAAAAATTATTAGGGTGCTCTGGGATTTGAATCAAATCTCCATATTAGTAGACTTCTGTTACCGAACCACACAGCTCTGATGCTGATAGCTTCTCTGTTGTGCCTATTTCCTCTAAATTTTTTACAACATTTATATGTGTACTATCAGTAACTTTCTATGAAATTATCTTAATTTTATAAGGATTCAAAGGATTATTGTTAAAGTTATGGAGCATATATAAGACATCTTTCAAATAAGAACTCAAAGTTTTCCAAAGTAATTATAACCTTAAGTTAATTATACAGACCTTGAAAATATACAAAACTGATATTACATTAATAAAATAATCATTTACTAATGTTCTACTAGCTTTATTTTTATTAAGATTATATTAATTTATATATTAAATTAAAAAATGTATTCAAAGTAAGCATATATTAAAAAACTAATTATATTTAACTTAATAATTCATGGGCTTGTAGACTTGCAATAATAAACGCATAAAAAGATGATATGAAGTACTAGACAGAAATCATTGTGAACTCACAAACAACTTGTATATCTTTATGAAAAGTACAATCATTTCAGTATAAGTTTCCTACAATTAAAAAGTTCAAGAGTACTTTAGAAAACATTCCTATTTTGTCCCAGTTAAACGTTCTTTAATTTTAATAATAACCTTTTGAATTTATACATATATATATATATATAAAATATATATACAGGGTGTCCCACATAACTGTAATCACGATTTTTCCGGCATTTCCGATGATTGACAAAAACTGTTTTGAATAAAAAGTTAGTCAATTTTCAATCGGCTACAAATTGTAATATTAAAAATTTGCAAAATATTCTTTTTTAGAGAAAAAGTCAAGGGATGCATTCGGTTTCATGCAGGATACATTTATCCCTGTTTAACATTCAGTGAACAGTAAGTTGATGCATCATGCGCATCATGCGTGAAACAGAATGCCCTCAAAGTCATCCTAATTTTTTTAGATGGGACTACATATTTTTTACTTTATTGTAACTAATATCAAAAATGAGTTCAACAACCTGCTGTACTATGATCTTGAAACGACCTTAAAGTCAGACGTGTGGGATCAATAAAAAAAGACACACACGCACACACACACACACACACACACACACACACACACACACACACACACACATTGATACATATCAAAGATAAAAAGAAAAATCAAAGGTAGTATGTTAAGGTAGTATACTCGCGAATTGAAAACAGTCAGAATTTCTTGAAATTGAAATTATATATTGTACTAGAAGAAGACTTTGACACACTTATGCAATTACAATCAGATTGATCGTTTCAATACTGAGATATAAGCAATTTTTTATACTTGTTGTCTACACAATGTTTGTGAAAATGTCACATTTATTTTTGTAGGGCCTAAACTAGCAGTAAGATGTTAATGAAAAATGAGCATGTGATGAAGGAATATGAAACGAATATTGTGAAAAAATTTTATGATTCTTTACCATTCAGTTCGGAAAACAGAGTCACGAAAGGAATGCAATTTTCAACTTTGATCGGTATATAGAGGCGACTGGAGGGAATGGAGGAGACGGCCAATGTGCATCTGGGCCTATATTCTGTAACTTTTATACGCTTACCGACAGTTGTCGGTGTCATTGCACAACTTTTTCACTATATAAAATATCTGCGTAACGACACCGACAACTGCCGGTAGACGTATAAAACAATTACAGAATAGAGGTCCTGGCAACACCGGCATTGGCCAGTAGCCTGCGTCTGTATTCATTTTCTTTTCGCGTGTGCTTGCGACTTTGAACAGGCGCAATAGTCGCGTTCAGTTGACTCAACTTGGAACATTCAATAGCAGCAAGCGCTCACTCAACGGTTGAGGGCCACTTTCACCATCGTCGGTTTACTTAGCTAGCCTAGTAACTGTAATGAAATAGAAAGAGATAGAAATAGTTCTATCTCTTTCTATTTCATTACAGTTACTAGGCTGATTAATAGCGAATTCGGTCGCTTGCACTATATTAGATTAGTGCATACTAAAAGCTGCTTTACATGAAATTAACAAAGTTAAATGTAAAAGTATATAAATATTTTTAACGATTAACTATCTACTGATGATATAGTCACGTTATTTAACAAAATATATATGTATAATTTCATTGTCAAAGTTGATTATATTGTATCACTGCATTAAGATATTTTATGTAAAGCAGCTTTTAATATGCACTGATCCAGTGTAGTGCGAGTGATCGAATTCACCATAAGTTAACTGAGCTTGGTGAAAGTGGTCTTGAGTATGCTGAACGTAATCGATCAAAAGTTTTCTCTCACCGGTAAGAGTGGGGGTATCACCAATGAACACACGATGGGGCCTAATTTTTGAATGATACTGTCGCGAATGTACTACCTCAACATTTCTTTACATAGTTTTATTTATAAAGACTTTTATACCTCCAGTAATATAAAACTCTACTTGCATTTACATTTAGATATTAGAATTATCAAAGATAGACAAATAAAGTGTACCGCCTGTGGTAATGAATTAAATATCCAGACAAATCGAATCTTTTCTCATCCTTTCATTGGAATACTGCAGTGTGAGGTAAGATGTTGTGCATTTGTAATTATTCTATAATTCACTTACCCGCACAAAAAAACGGATCACTAAATTTTAGCACAAATTCTCGAGTAGCGATGTTCCAATGAAAAATCATTACAGAGAGATGAACCGAAGCTCAAATTAAAGCTTCAACATTTCCCTTGATAACCATGCATATCAAATTTGAATTACACAAAGTGTATTACAAAATAGCGGCCATTGAAGACGGATTTTGTTCATCTTGCTCTGATGATTTTCCATTGAGATATCACTCGAACACATTAAAAATTTGTGCTAAATAGTGGCCTGTTTTTTTTTTTTTTGCGGGTGAGTATACGATCAAATGCATTTCATATTTAAAGTCTAAAGCAACAAATTCTAAATAGATTCTTTTTTATTGATTATAATAATAGTGCGCTATGCAGTGTTATATTATTATTATTTTTAGATATGCTGGAATGAGTTGAAGAATATACAGACCAGATTTGATGAGGATAAAGCTAGGCATTATTGTCATATATGCGGCATATATAACAACAGGAAATTATATGAGTGTTGTAACAAAAATTGTAACTCAGCATTTTGTAAGGTAATAAATTCATCATATGTGATTGATAAATATAACAATTAAAATATTGTGGTATTGTAATTATTTAACTATTTTGTTAACTAACTTAGGGATGTATAAAGAGAAATGTAAGCCTATCGCTATTGGACGTGGAAAAGGATGATTGGGAATGTTTTATATGTAATCCTAAACCACTTTGGGATCTAAGAGCCATATGTGCTGCTGTAATAGACTCTCTTTCCACGTAAGTATGATCAAACATATGAAACATCCTAATTTTAAATGATGTTTTTATTTCTGACATGTATATTCACATACATTTCTTAAATATTCAAATGTTTGCTATATATTTTTTTATTATCACTTTTGTGATGTGTGTACATGCACAGAATGTAGATATTGCTAGCTAAATATTTTTGTTACGAAAGTAAGTAAATAACATTGAACCTTTGCAAATAATAATGACTTGATAATTTTCTTAGAGATTAAGTTTGCATGTTTCAATGATGTTCAGTATATCATGCATTACTCTATAATTTAATGTTTTGTTAATACTGTTAGTCCGTTCTGTTATATTATAATTTAATAGAAGAAGAAAATTCTGTAAAAGCAAGATGAGCAAAAGTGAAGAGCAAAATAGAATTTATCGTGTTCTTAGCTACAGGACTGGCTGACAGATACTAAAAGTTTGAGAATAAACAAGTTAAAGAAGAATTGGGAATATGCATGTATACTCCGAATATGACTGGAAAAAGGAAAAGTATATACATATGGAATGGATCTTCTGTTTCAGAAAGAGTAACAAGGGAAGAAGCAACAAGATTGAAAAAAAAATTTTACCATCTCAAATACAACGAATAAACGAAACGAAATACGTACAAAATCTCTTGGATAGTATGTGTGACAGAGAGGATAACGATTCTTCCGAAGAGTCATTCGTTTCTGCAAGATTCGCGAGAAAAAATCGTCATACAAATTATGAAGTAAACTCTCTTCAGAAGAAAAAGAAAAATGCATTAGATATAACAGATTCGTCCAGCGAGGATTCGTTTTGTAAACGCAAAAATTTATCTATCCTTTCTAAAAGAAATAATCAAAATAAGAACGAGAGTGACCAAAAAACGAAATGTGTAGGGGATTTTTATTCCGCGCGGAAAGTTTCAATTATAAAAGAAAAAAAAATGTCAAAGAAAAATAAAATATCTAGTGATTCAAGTGATGATTCTAGCGATGTGTCGTCGAATAAAATAAGAAGACAACGTATAATTAAACATAATAGATCTAAAAAAATAATAAAATCTAAAACAAATGTATATTCTTCTGACAGCGAAAGTGATGAGAACAATACAGATACAGCGTCGAATGTATCAAAGAGGATTTCAAAAGGTACAAGACAACAGAATAAAAAAATGGATAATTCTCATAATACAAGATCGAGGGATAAGGCAAAAAAAAATAATTCGACTGGTGAATCTGAAGATGAAAAATATATAAAACGAAATACGAGGAAACGTTCAGAAACGAGTCAGCTGATGTCGCACAGTAATGATGAACGAAAACGTGACAAGTCATCGAAGCAGCGACTTTCTAATATTCAGGAAGATAATTCGGATAATAGTTCTAGTAAAGAATTTCAGAAAATAAAACTTCAAAAGGTGAATCGCAATATAAGGCAATTGGCAAATTTGGAAGTAGATCATACTAAGACACCTAAGAATTCTACGAATAACAGTGACAAAGATATCAATGGACAATCAAATAAAAAAAATCTTTTAGATATGAAAAAAATTTTAATGGACTGTAAGAAGGCATGTTCAGATTTTCAGATGCATATCGAAAGTATAGAACACTTATATGGTAAAGAAGATGAAGAGAAACTTGTGTTGAAATCTACAGAAAAAATTGATCGCTTAAGGATGATATTGGAGAAAAAACATAAGAATTTATTAACTTCTTATCAGGTGTGGTCTAGGAATAGAAAAAAATCTGCTACGAAAAGGTCAAACAAAGTAGTTACAGATAGTGAACAATCAGAAGAAAAACGTGATAACTGTATAGAGGATGAGGATAAGCACGTATTTGATGATAAACAGGATGGAAATAAAGATGTGTCTGAATGTGATAGTGAAGAAATATTTTCAGCAGATGAAACAAGATCACCGCAGAAGATGCAAGCGGCTAGGTGTAAAGTGGATCTAGCCAGAACGGAAAAGAGCCTAAATAACAATGAAACTGATACCGATGATGAAGATAGAATGTCAATAAATAAATCGAAGATAAATAACGATAAAAATAATGTGGACGTGCAAGATGATTCGACCACTTCTCCCACATTAAGATTAAAAGAGAAGAATATTAGTATAGAACGATCAAGTGAAAAACAACTATCTTCGGAATACAATAAGAACAACAACGAGACACAATCGTCTGATGAAAATGAAACTGAGATTGAAGATTCTCCTTCAAAAAGTAGCAGCAAGAAAATGGTATTAGAAAATGATGAAACAAATCGATTGAAAAAGAATATAATCGACGAGTCGATGGATATGTTCGACACATCTCCCGAAGATGCAGAAAAGAACAGAACGGAAGTCGAAACAAATTGTGATAAAGAAGAGCTTTTACAGACGTCTAAAGATAAACTTTTAGATCCTTGCGAAAATTCCTTACAAAATAAAATTTCAGACCAAAAAGAGAGAACATTCCTTGAAGAAGAGGAAGATTTATCAAATCAAAGTAATCAGGAAAAAATGGCAGCTATATCTGTAACCAATAAGGAAGTTTACGACTCGAAAGCATCCAGAAAAATGAATATAGATGATAATGAATCTCTCGATGACGCTGAAGCATTGGCAAAGGAAGCTCTGTTGGCTGACTCTGACACATCGGACACATCCAATAAAAATGTAGCTAAGTTAACTGAAGTTTCCACAGACGATGAAACTACTAATCGAATCGAGAAGAAAAACGAATTAGAAGATATTGATTCTGATGTCAATAGTGTTAGTACAATAAAACTTTCAACTTTAAAAAAAAATGCGAATACCGACGCTGAAAAAGATGTTATCACTGAAGCGGAAATTAAAGCTGAGAAAAAAAGCAATGATCAATCAGATGAAAGATCTCGTAAAGAAATGAGCTCTTCGGAGGATGAAAATATCAAGAAAGAAAAAGCTGCCAAAAAAGCTCTCTTAGAATCGGACGATTCTATACCTTTAAGGGAATCGAGAGAATCCGTCGATTCCTTTAAGAAGTTTGAGTCGGATTCTTCTAAGAAAAATGCCGAAGCGAAACGGTTGCTTTTAGCATCTTCCAGTGAAGACTCTAGTTCTGAACTGACTCTGTCTGAAATGATAAATGTTTCAAAGAATATTAAACGTAATCGTGAGCCTGAGACTGATAGAGAACATAATGTCTCCAGACTAAAGAAGAGAAGACTCAAACTCAATGAAAATTACTATTACAAAAATGATAAGAAATTGAGAATGTCCTGCAAAGTTCATTTAGAGCGATTAAGCACGGAAATTCTTAAACGCTACTCACATGCATTAAAAAAGTCAAGAGAGTATTTGGAACATAAGGAATTTAAAAGGTATCAAGTATTTTCTGTAAAACCTGTGTCTATTGTCTTGCATCCTTTGACATATTCGAATGGCTAATTATTATTAGAGTTTATATATAAGTATATAATAGAATTATATGCTATACAAGTTAGAATTTATAGTATATAATCATACATATAACAGTAAAAAAATTTAATTTTGCATGCGGTATCTTTTTAAAACTATCATACATTGGAAGTATGGAAATGTAATAAAAATCAATCTACAACATTGTATTGGCATTATTTTCGTTACGTTTGACTGTAGAATTATTTACAAAATATTTCAATGTAATATATATTTTTATTACATTAAAGTTTTATTACGCAATCAAAATGAATATTTGTAATTCATACTCTGACTGAAAGATTTTATTGTGTAAAATCTGCAAATAGTTACGTACGGAAGTATAAAATTCATTTTCCTATCAAAATAAAAGTTCTTTATTAAATTGTTATATCCGAGTGAACGCCTGAAAATATATGGTAATTTTGGGAATTTTTTGTAGTTAAATAATAAGTGGAAATTCGGTTCAAAGACCTTTAATGTGCATATCTTAAGTTCATAAAACAATTTGTGTAAAGTCAAGCCGTACGTGGATCTCTCTGTATAAATATAATTGTTGCAATGTAGGCAGAGCAATAATTTTGTAACGACTATTACAAATGTTGTTAAATTATTCAAAAAATTTTGTGGAGATTTGCGGAGATAATTTTGTATATGAAAATGATTATATTAATCGTTCTGGAATTTACAATTAATACGGATTTTTAACTATAAACTATTTCTCTTGTAAAAATATATATTTTCAAAATAAGAATATTACCATTTCAAATAGAGGATTTGAACATTTATATTTAAGCAAACACGGTATCATACTTACAGAATGCTATAAAATTGTTTAACTTGGAGGAAATATTTTCAAGTTACTCTAATGAATTCAATCCCAAATTAACATATTACATATAATATGTTACATATTTGAGAGAATATTTTATTCGGTTTTAATACTTTTTAAACTTGAAAATTTGATCTTTCGCTAGCTTTTTCGGATTCTGATCTACTGTAATGCCGCTTTGGGATAAATTTTGATTTATCTTTCTTTCAATTTCATCCAACGGCACTTGAATAGATCCTTTATCAACAATTGTAAAAGTCTAATAGAAATCTGCGGCAAATGTGTTATTTGTTACTTAATTTGATACGTGTGATTGTAAAGTATAGTAAGTATAAATTTACTCATATAACATTCGCTTTCTTAAATCAACAATTCTTTAAATTCAAAAAAAGCAAGAGGGTTGGAGGGGGAGAGGGAGAGAAAGTGTGTGTGTGAGCGAGTGCGTGAGGGAGTGAGCGAGTACATTGAAAAATGTTCGATTCTCCTGTAGTAGAATGTATTCGTTTATATATATATAGTTTTTATATACAATTTTATAGAAAATGATAACTACAATTTCTGTTGATCTGAAAGATTTTGAACTTAACATCATTTCTTACAAATTTGCTTTCATAACGCCTAAAAAAGGTTTACCCATTATTACACAATAAATTTTTCATGTGACAAATTCAATTTATGTATTAATTAGTTATTATCCAAAGTACCTTATTTCCATTATCCTTTACAGTCTTGTTAATCTGGATAAACTCGAAAAGAATCACAAGAAAAATATAAAGAAAGATTCTGATTCGTCGATGGACAACGATTCGTCCTCAAAAATTTCGAAAAGGTCAAATAAAAAGGAAAATACAAAGATCAAAGAAGAGTCTTTGATGGATCATTTGAAAAAAATAGAGAACGGCGATACCGTGGCAACTGTAGAAACAGATCTTTATACTGAAGATCAATCAATTTATCAAAAACAAAATGTAGACGATACTATCTCTAATGACGCTCTAATATCAGAGGCAGATAGACTCGCAAAAGAGAATCTGTTAAATTCTTCTGATTCAGACGGTAAGCAATTTGGTATCAATAAAAATACAATTATTACGCATACGACTTCTTTCAAATATAGAACATTTAAAATATATGACACAAGTTTCTCTCGATTATTTTGATCATGTTTTTGAGACATTTGACTCGTTTGAAAAAGATTGAACATCTTTTGTTACTTCTCAACTTTAAAATTTGATTGAAGTTTATATAAGATTGGCTTATAAACAAAACTTTTAATGTAAAATTTACTCTAGTAAACGAAAACAAAATTTTTTTATTACTTATCTGCAAACTTGACATTTAATTCAGTAAGATTTTGCATTAAAAAATTTTTGCAATTAATAGACTTACTGATTTTTTGGTGGATAAATACAAACAGCATTTTTTAATAATTAGATTTGCTCTTTAATATCTATAATCAAGATATTAAAGATTGTTTTTTTAGTTTTTATTTTTTATTGATGGTTTAACTTGAATTTCTCATCTCTCTTTAAATAATGAGCGATATTTAAAAAATTTTTATGTTTAAATTTTTTAACGTGAAAAATAATTATATTATTTGTGATTACATATTTTATCATGAATATATTATGTTATTTAAACTTAATTATGTTATTTGAACTTAGAGGAAGAAGTAATACTGGACAGTGATTCTAGCATAAAGAATGATGATACAAATGGAAAAAAAGAGAACAAGAAAAAGCAATATCAGAAGAAATCTGAAGAGCAAACTTCGAAAAATGATGTAAGGCATTTTATTATTATTTAATGAAAGAAATCAATAGATTAAATAATATATAAACAGGGTATTTGGTAAATACCGTTTAGATGTGGTTGGTATTTTGCGTTGGCATTTGCCTACGATATCTAAATGCGCGAATGATTAGGCGATATGATTCACTTCCTTCAAATGCTTATAATTAAAAAACTATTAGAGCTTCGACATTTTGAGCACAAAGTCACTAGTCAGAATCCAAATTACTAATTAGAATAGAAAAAAAATGGCTTCTAAATTATTTATTATTATATTAAAAATCTGTCATACAAGTTAAGCTTTGCAAGAAATCTAATTCTTCTGTTCTTGATCCAAATATTTTAGAACGAGAAAGACAAAAGCGCTTGGAGGAGAGACAAGATATTAACAATGAAATTATCTGATTCTGATTCTGATGCTGAAAGAGAAAAGTGGGAGAACAAACAAGAAAAACTTGCAAATAAATCCAAAAATAATAAGTAAGTTATTTATTTTATCTTATTTTAAAAACTATGTACGATCTTATTTTTCTTTGCAGCAGTGATTCTGGTGAAGAAAAATCTTTTAAGTCTAAAAGGAAAAAAAAGAAGACTGGGCGAAGAATCATTGATTCAGATTCAGACATTAAAATAACAGATGTAGATTCTGATAATTCTTCTAATACTTCAAGCCCTTTTATCACACTATATTCAAACGATTCAGATGACACGAGAAAAGAAAAAGAGCAATTGAAACGAAATAAGAGACGTAAACGCGGCGATTCGTCAGGTACAGATTCTTCGCTTTCAGAGAAGAAGTAAGTTGATCTATTTTATCTATTTTATTTCTGTCTATCGTGTACGCTTAAGTTTACATAATTTGTAGATCAAAACCAAAACGAAAGCGTATTAAAAAAATGGCATCCGACAGTGATAGTAGCGATGTAGAAATGTTAAACTCGCAAGAATCTTCACCCGGTAAAAGTGGTCGAAAGAATATACGAAAAGTTTTGAAGGACAAGCAAGTAACGGACGATACGAAACAAGCTGCTAAAGAAGAAGAGGAGAGGCTTAAACGTATCGCTGAACGTCAAGCTGTGGTATATTCCGCTATCATTATCAATTTTTATTTTTCACTAACATGTTGTATTATACGTAAATATCTTTTATTATACAGTACAACGAAATGTTTGAGATAAGACTTGCCGGTGAAGAGAAAGTAGACAAACTCGTTTTAGACTTCGATACAGAAACGAAACAGGAGCTTGTTACTGTGCATAAGGAATTGGTAAAACATCTGAAGCCGCATCAAGCACAAGGCATCAAATTTATGTGGGACGCTTGTTTCGAGTCTCTAGAAAGGGTGAAGTCTACATCCGGATCTGGATGTATAATCGCGCACTGCATGGGTTTGGGCAAAACGCTACAAGTGATTACTCTGACGCATACGCTTCTCACTCACGAAGCGACAAACGTTAAGACAGTACTGGTAGTTTGCCCATTAAGCACAGTACTCAATTGGCGAAATGAGTACAATACATGGCTGAAGGATTTGGATGATTTTGAAGTGTATGAACTGACAAAGTGAGTATTTGATACTCTACATTTACAAGTTGTTTTATCGTATTATTTATAACTGTTATCTAAAGAACATTGTACAATTTTGCAATCAGAGTTTTCATGACATATTATTCAAATACAAATATTTCCAGATTTAAGAAGAATTTTGAGAGGAAATATCAACTGCAGAGATGGCAAAAAACCGGCGGTGTGATGATTATTGGCTATGAAATGTTCCGTAATCTTACGAGTCCAAATAGAAATATTCGGAAGGCTATGAAGGAAGTTATGTTGGAATGCCTAGTTGATCCGGGTGCTGATCTTGTTGTTTGTGATGAAGGCCATTTATTAAAAAATGAAGACACTGCATTAAGTAAATGCATGAGAAACGTGAAAACATTGAGACGCATAGTACTTACTGGAACACCTTTACAGAACAATTTAATAGAGTGTAAATATCTTATAAAACTTATTTTTGTAGTTGTATATTTTAAAAAAATATTTTGCATCTATTTAATTATGTTTGCAGATCATTGTATGGTGCAGTTCGCGAAACCCAATCTGCTGGGTACAAAGAAAGAATTTTCAAATAGATTTGTAAATCCGATAACAAATGGTCAGTTCCATGATTCTACTGCTTATGACGTTAAATTAATGAAAAAACGTGCGCACGTGTTGCACAAAATGTTAGAGGGTAGCGTGCAAAGATTCGATTACTCCGTGCTTACGCCATTTCTACCACCGAAACAGGAATATGTTATTTTCGTCAGATTGACAGACATTCAAGTTAAATTGTATCAATATTACTTGGAGAATGTTGCCAGGTGAGTCTCTTAAAGATCTTATATTTTTGTTGTACTTTCTTCTCGTTTAAATGAAAATACAATTATTAATTGTATTACTTTATGTGATTGAATTATTTTGTATAAAGTTATCATTTTTATGTTATATTAGTTATGTATAAAAATTAAAAATATATATGACTTAAAACGCAAATATCAAATTAAATTGACTGTATTACTTTGTATGATTGAAAGCATTACTTTTTCTCCTATAGACGCCTATCTGGTCAAGGAAGAACTCTCTTCGCTGATTTTCAGGCATTACAAAGAATCTGGACGCATCCCTTAGTCCTACGTCTAAATGCAGAGAAAATAGAAAAAGCAAATGAGAAAAAGGAACTTTCTGATTCAGAAGGTTCGTTAAAAGATTTCATTGATGATGATACCGATGTAGAGAGTAGCAGCAGCAGCAGCAACAGCAACGATTCAAATAATGACAGTGATGTTCAGGCGATCGATGAAAAAGACAATGCAAACGTTCCTAAACGTAATACAAGAAATAATCCTGTCGGTAAGTTTCTATGTATTTTATAAATGAAAATGTAATTTGCTAGACAGTGCATACATTTGCTATATCAGGTCATATAGTTGGTATGCGCATCTACAAGCAAAAGTATTCATTTAAATTGATGCATTTTTTGTTAAGCATACTTTTACTAAATTAGGTGTGAAAATCTCTGTCTGACTGACTTTTACGTGGGAATAAAAAAACGAATAGCTCATAATTAGAAACTATTTATGAGCTCTCAAATCTCAGCAGGTTAAAACTCTTGAGTTCGTAAATAGCTCTTAATTCTGAACTATTTGTTTTTTTTTATTCCCCTGTGATGGGGGAGCAGCTAGATAGAGATGTGAAAATGTATGCTTTTACTAGTAAAAGTTTAAATTTTGTAATGTGAATGTATCTATTTATTAGAGTAAAATTTTATATGTATGTGCTTATATTGACTAGTAAGGCCTAGTTTCACAACTTTTTGGTTAACTCTTGATCGAAGTTCGACTTTTAAAATTTTAGAAAGAGATTAGAAATACGTTAAATCTCGGTTAAAGGCCATGGCATACACCTTCCGTAATAGTAACCATAAAGGCCCGTCTACAATACACGGAGTAAGAAGTAAGAGTAAGAAATTGACCAATCACAGTCGAATGTGAGAAGAATAATCGACTGTGATTGGTCAATTTCTTACTCTTACTTTTTACTCCGTGTATTGTAGACGGGTCTTAAAACGTACAGTAAGAATAAGCCAATTACATCGAGAATTCTTTTGAACTCTTAATTCTAATTGGTTGATTCTTACGGTACGTCTTATGTTACTGCTATGGAAGGTGTGTGTGCCATGGCCTTAAGAGTTAACCGTGAGTTGTGAAACTTGGCCTAAGTGTATTATATTGTATTTGTTACATTAACACTTCGATTGTGACACATACATTTAAACCAAATGCTCATAATACTTAAACCAAACGTAAATAATGCAAATAAAATAATAAAATAAAGATATTAAATATATATAAAATTAATTTTTTAGAAGAGGAACCAATGGAACAGATCAAAGAGACCTCAGAGTCAGAAGTGGCCACAGAATGGTGGTTGCAGTTTGTACAATCCGAGCATTTTGAAGATATGAGAGAGTCAGCTAAGCTATTACTTCTGTTTGCAATTCTAAAAGAAAGTGAACAGATCGGCGATAAAGTGTATGTCTATCTTGTATCTAATTTTTTGTACATAATTTTCACATTGCTATTATTTATTATTGTATTACACATAATTTGATAGGCTCGTATTCTCTCAATCTCTATATTCTCTCACCTTAATCGAGGAGTTTTTAAGAAGAATAGATGATCAGACTCAGAAGGATGAATCCTGTGACACTCTTGATAATCATACTGGAAGTTGGTCTTTAGGACTCGATTACTTCCGATTGGATGGTCAGACTTCGCCTGAAAATCGAAATTTATGGTGTAAGATATTTAATAGACCCACCAATATAAGAGCGAGATTATTCCTCATATCTACACGTGCTGGAGGATTAGGAATAAACTTAACTGCAGCGAACAGAGTGATTATATTTGACGCCAGTTGGAATCCATCTCACGACGTACAAAGCATATTTCGGATATACAGGTACTTCTTTTGACGTTTAATCTTTTTTTGTAATTATATATTTCAAATAGATCGTCTCTAATTTGTCGATACAATGATCAACAGATTCGGACAAAAAAAACCGTGTTACGTATATCGATTTCTTGCTGCGGGAACAATGGAAGAAAAGATTTACAACCGTCAAGTTACGAAGCTGTCGCTTTCGTGCCGTGTCGTTGACGAACAACAGATCGAACGGCATTACAGCAATCACAATTTAAACGAGTTGTATACGTTTGAGGGATACGATAAAGAAAAACCTACATTAAATTTACCTAAAGATAGACTGCTAGCAGAGATATTCTTGAAGTTCAAGGATATTGTGGAAAATTATCACGAACATGACTCTCTACTAGAAAACAAGGTGAGAAATATTTTTTTTTCCTTCATATAAGAAAGACGTTCATGCATGTGACATTATATGATAAATTTATATTTAAAAGGCGGAAGAGGAATTGGACGAAGAAGAACGCAAACAGGCTTGGTTAGAATATGAAGAGGAAAAGAAAGGAAAACCACTAATAAATTCAATGGCAAATACAGCTTTAATGATGAATCAGAATAATGCGTTTTTGCAACAATGTATGATGATGAGGAACTCCATGCAGCCTAACATGATGTCTCAAAATATGTTCGAATATAACAGTTTCCAGCAGCTTATTCGTAAAGATGTAAGATATGAAGATGTAAACCCTTAATACTATTATACAGGGTGTTTCATTTTAATTTTTCCAAGCAAATAATAGTGTAGAAGATAGAAAAAACGTTTCGTACAAAATTTTATCACTTCGAGGGAGACATGAGAGGATATCATTGGTTTGATCTTGGATAGTTGTTTAAAAATCGCATGAAGGTCGCCTTCAATTTTTTAAATAGGAATCTATTTTTTATTGCATATTTTTATAACTCATTACGAGAATTTTTCGAAATATTATTAAATAAAGTATTTTTTAATTCAGTATATTTCATGAAGTTTGAAAGTTACAGTACCGCCGACAATAGCATTATCCAAGATGTCCGACCGACGGTTAAAATCTTTTGAATGTTGTTCAGGGTCATGATCTTGTCAACATATATCAAGGTCAATGCCATTGAAGATGTTCTTTTTATTTTCCTTTTTACACTGGTATTATTTTATGTTTCGAAACTTTTGGAACGTTTTTCGTATATTCCATATTTTTCGAAATATTCGCCTATAGCGAGATCCTCTAAAGTGACCCTACACAATCAGTAATAACAATATTAATAAATACTGACGATATTACTGATCGTGTGTGATTAAATTGATGGATTGACGTAGAATACTAATAGTGATCTGGATTTTGATTCTCAAGCATCAGTATCGCTTTATTAGGATCCATGTCACAGTATATTACAATGCAATAGATAATGCACATAAAATTAAAGTAAAATATATTGCCAATAATACTGATCGTATAAGGTTGTAAAAATACTAAAAATATTAATGCATACTGTTATTATTACTGATTCAATATTGCTAATCAGTATCATTAATCATATAGGGCCTATAAGGTATAGGGTCATCTTAACGTCTTATCGACGATTGTCGATATCGTTAACTAACGATATCCAATAAGAGTCGCACTTTTTTTCAAGATCGTCCTTGCTTTTCCAGGATCAGCTGTCACTAGTTAATGATAGTGACCAATCGTCGATGAAACGTTAGAGAATTCCATTACTGTTAAACAATTGCTCAAGTGTATAAATTATTTATAATTTTGAATATAATTGCAGTATCCGAATGCAACACCAGAACAACAAAAAATGATGACGAATCGAGCTATAGTGGAAATGTATAATTATTGGGAAAAACAAGCTACACTATACAATAAGCAACCTGTACAACCAGTACAAAATCCGTTTTTGCCGGTAATAATTTATTTTTAATTAAAAATATTAACAATTCCAACATTTCCAACGAATAAATCAATAAATGCTGTGAGTTGATAAAGTGAATCTTCATATGATCACGAAGAACTGATTTTTTCGAAAATTGATTTTTTCATGATCTGTGCTGTCATACAATTTTTGTAAATATATATTTTTTTATTTGAATTTACCCAGCAAAGACAAAAGAGATGATAAATTAAAGTGAGATATCTGTATAAAATGTAGTACATATAATTTTTATAACATATTTTATAGAATTTTCAACAAAGACCACAAGCGCCGAATTTTCAGCAAAGACCACAAGTTCCGGTAACGAGCAATATGCATGTAAATATAAATGTTTATTTATATATATTGAGCTGTACATTTTTTTTAAATATTGAATATTTTTTTGTAGCCGCAAGTCACGCAATTGGGCCACTTGCTTTCGGGACAATCGATGAATTATGTAAACGCGAATAAATCCGTGCAATTAAACGATACACAAACGGGAGATTTAATTCCAAATTTATTTTCAAAACAGAATACCTCGTCGAATAACAATATAGGCGGAACCATGGACCAGGATATAATAGAGGTAATTGCGCTATATTGTCGTTTTGTTTAAATATGGTGAAAGGAAGTTTTTGCAATAACATGAATACGGTGAATGTTAAAGTCATGTTATTCTTTTCTTAATTAGTTGTTGAGAAGAAAATAACGTGACTTTAGCGTTCACCGTATCTGGATAAATGGTATTGTAAAAACTTCCTAATATTTAAATGTAATTATATATATATATATATATATATTTATTTATTTATTTATTTATTTATTTATTTATAGGTAGTTCCTACTACAAGTACTGGAATAACACGTCAGAGCGGAATGAGTAGCGTACAAATAGCTGCGCAACCAATTGATAACAGTAAGATCCAAGAGGAGTAAATTTCATATATAATATTTTCTACTGATTACGTTGAGATAGTATTATCTGCAGATTGATATAAATCTTGATTATAAATTAAGAAAGGAATGCGCACTGTATACGAAAATGTTATTTTAAATACTTCTTATTAATTTCCTATGTAATAAAAAATAATAGTACTGCACGTTAAAATTAATATTTGTATAATTAGATCTATGTAGACAAATTGTGCATTGTATATTTTCAAGATTTTAATATATAATGCAGAATAATACAGGATGAGACACTTGAAATAGGCCTGAATGAACCTTTCATTTTGTTATAGTTTGAAAAAAATGCTTTAATAAATCTTATTCTCTTGGATGTTCCTCTTTAATTTAATCAAGTTTTATTTGAAGTATTTTTTTTATCGTCAGAAAGAGTTATTCAAATGGTTTATTTTAAGTGCCTTCACTTTGCATAAGATTATATGTGTAAGGATATATATGTCGCCAAACGTTTACATATAACGAGGCTGTACTTTAAGAAAGATATTCAAGAAAACCTCATATAGTTCACATGTACTACAAAACCTTTACATATACCGAGACTTTACTTAAGAATCATAAGAATCATAAAAATCTATATTTTACAATTTTTTGCAATTTATTAAATTTACTGTTAGGATACACTTGGTTTTAATCCATTACGGGTGTATATAATATTTATTTTCCAAACATTTTCGATCGATAAATATATTGGTAATAAATTCTATAAATTTATTTACATTTCTCATAAATAAATTATAATTGATTATTGCCAATTCATTTATTAATTACATGCCACATGTAGACACAAAGAAATGTTTCAAATATTTAAAATAGAAATATGATAGTAGATACTGTATTGATGTAATATAGAAATGTTTATATTATGATTTTAATATCTTGGAAGAGCATTTCTCCATCCATCTTTTAGCAACATTCTAAGGTATTTTTTCGTTTTTAACATTTCTGGCAAGGCTGCTACATTAAAATCTTCCGCTCTATCCGTTTTGTGATCGTATAATTCTTCTGCAATAATAACGTCCCAATCTGGTTTGCACGTCGTATGCGCAAATGGTATCCAGGCGGTATAACGATAATCGCTGGTTTTCAAGGTATAGCCCATAATGTTTATCTCTTTCAAACGGGGCTTATCGCTATTAGGATGGAGTATAGGTTGAATTTCTGGTCTTGGATATTGACTGAATGCCGCCTTTTTCCAAGGTATGCTCTGAAATATTTACAAATTAACGGGGACAGATTATAAAGATGGAGAACTTTTGTTTTATATAAAACGTTTGTATAATTCATAATGCAATAAAAAATATGCCTTACCTGACATTGTAAAGTACTTTTTATAAGTGGTAATAGTGTAATACCCTCGCTACAAGGATTGGGTACTTCGTTTCGAATGAGAATATGTTTTAAATGATCATTCGTATTAATAACTTGACATATCGGTATGGAAACACCTGCTAGATCCGCGATCGTCGGAAATATATCGACAAGTTCCACAATAGCGTCTGTGACTCGACAGTGCTTTTTGGAATGTAACGCATTGCTTCTCATAGATTTATTATGTCTTCGTTTAATGTATGTCCCGAAGAGAGTTCTTTTATGTTTCCTTACATATCCTATACTTATATTTGAAGCACCAATTTTTCCAACATGTGATAAGTATTTCAAGTTCATTTTATTTTTTATTTTATCATTGTTTGTAATCTGTGCATTATATCTCATATGATTTATAGATATAGCATCGTAATTAAAATCAGATGTGACCATTGGAATTGATATTATCAAAGGTACGTGCACAGCAACGTCGAAATTGCTATATTTGGACCAGACAGCATGTTCTCCAAGAGCCCAACCTATGTATTTAATATGGATTTACTATGTAATATATACACGATTGCTAAGTATATATTTAGAAATAGGCAAAATGAGTGTCCTATTTAAAATAGGAAATGTAAAATAGTTACAATCTTTTTCATTTAAAAATATAAAATATAAAATGGTCTTTAGACATCTATTTGAAATAGAAAATGGGCACTTTTTAAATGATTTTTTATAAATATTTATATTCTCATATTTAATTTTGAATATTTATCTTGTATTTATTTTCTTATATTTTTTAATTTTTAATATTTTAAGAGGGTATCCGTCATTTTCCTTTTATGAGGTCTTATAATTAACTCGCCATACGGAAAAAAGAAAAACAAAATACAAAATTAGCATTTTGCATTTTGTTTTTCCATTTTAAATGCATCTATTTCAAATAAAGCCCATCTCCGTGTATATTTTATTTCATTGATTAAACGTACCATGATCAGATGTTAATATTACAATAGTATTTTCTCGGATCATCGAGACATGTAGCTGATTTATAAGTTTGCCGATTATATTATCGATGTAAGATACAGCTGCGTAATACGATTGGATAATTTGCTTAGCAAACTTTTCTGAAAATAGTGATAACCACCAAGGGACAATAAAGCTGGAAGTACAATGAAAAGCATAAGCAATAGGAACAGGGAATAAGAAGTTTCAACCTATCAAAAAGCGTCCATTCTAGTGTAAATGGCTTTTGATATACGTTGAAATTTGTTATTCCTTGTTCCTATTGCCTGTGCTTTTCATTGTGTTTCTAGCTTAATATGCGTGTGTGATCTCTTTTGCGTAGTAATTATTATATTATAATTATAAAAATACGTGAAAAATAGACGTTTTGATTACAATCCGGGGCCCTATTCTTGAGCACATACGAATAATTTTCGCATACGAAAATGATAGTTTCTTGGCTGTGATTAATCGATTGTATACAGAATTGCTATTTTCGTATGCGACATTTGTTCAAGAATAGGGCCTCGATCGTCATCAGTATGTAAAATTAATAAAAAATTAATACGAAATTAAAATAATTTAATTATTTTTTTGTCTATAAATGTACAAAGTTTCATTAAATTCGGCAAATCGTGGAAAGGTGTTAGTTTTGTCCATTCTGCTTCTATGCGAAAGTTTAATCATATAATTGTCAGACCTGTATATGCATAGTGCGGATACCTGGTATTCTTTCCCATGGAAATTTTAATTTTAACTTTGCCACGTCTTTTCTCCATCGGAGATCGGTCCAAGGATTATAGGCAACATTATTTACATTATCTGGCCATATGTATCGTTCGGGCATCTTGAACTTTCGTATAGGATAATATTCTGCATCGTGTTTATAACGCAAACTTTACATTATTCATCATCATTTTTCGTCTATTTTACGATCGTAAAAAATATTGAATTACTAAAATTATTAAATTATTATAAAGAAATTCATCTCTATAACAAATGAAGATTTTTAACTTAAAAATTCAAAAAATTATGAAACTTTGGTAATATGTAAAGGATATTCTCTTATGTATTGTAATAAAAATAATTTTCTATTGTTTTAAAGGGATAAAATCAATGTCTGAAAATTGGTCTTGCTTTTGTTTATACATTTTTTATAATTATTTAAACATTTGTTTAAAGGAGTTTTTATTTTCTAATCAATAAATTTCATTAAAAGAAATAAGTTCTGTTTTAAAATTGTTTATTATTTCCTTTTGTGGAGCTAATATTCAAGGATTGATTTTATTTTAGGGTGAATTCGAGCAACAAAAAAATAAATGTATTATATATCACAATATCCGCTATGTGTGTGCAACTAAAATTTCATAATTTTGTAAATTTCTGAGGAACCTTCTCATATACATCAAGTAAACGAGAATAGATTAAAAAGAATTGATATTTTAATCCATTCAAATCATCCAAATGTGTACTTTTTAATAGCATTCAAGATCTATATATTTTTAATTTTCAAATGGATGGAAAAACTTTCTTTATATTTAATTGGATTTGAATTTTGAATTGAACAGTATTCACGATGCACTTAAAGAATGAAATTTTTTTCAGATTGAAAGGCATGTAAAATTGTGCTTTGTGCAATTCTTTATTTTTATAAATAAATGCATTGAGATTGAAAGGATTCAATTTAACATTTTCGAATGCGTACTTCTGAAAATTTGTCCATTTCAATCTATTCTTATTTACTGGGTAATGTTTCTAATTTTATATGTATTGATAAAAGTTATGAAGAGTATACTTAGATAGCGTTCAGGATACTTCAGAGGTATATGAGGCTTCTGAAAACCAACGGCAAGAAAGAAAGGATTAACATCTTTTTTGTGTTTGTTTATAAATCTTCTCGCTTCTCGTAACGTCTCGAGATCAGGTAATGTTTTGTTTGGCATGGCCGAGACTCGTACCGGGCATATCTGTAAATGTGATATATCAGAGGTATATTTCCGTGTGGATTGCAATGTAAGAAAATATTGTACGTTACGAGATTCGTTGCCGCTTTTGATTGCGGGACCATCCTACAAACCGGAGCATTTTTGTACCGATCTGTATACGGATGGAAAGGTTTCTCGGTCCATGAGTAGGGACTGTCGTCAGATCCGTTAGAACTTATACCTGTACGAAATGTTTCACTTTTCAGGTGTCAATGACCTGTCGTTAATTACACATATATACATATATATGTACACTTGAAATATAAAATATCGCAACAATCTTGCAGCAATATTATTTTGAAAGCTAGATTGTAATATTTTATAAAAGATTTACTGGTATTTACACATCACTAGATTTTATAAAAGAGCTTTGCATCATCACGTGCGAAAAAGCAGAGCTTTCATTGAATATCGCCTCTCACTCATCATTTATAGCGTCCAGTATGCAGTAAGAATAAGCCCAGATTTACAGTAGGTGTTTTAAGTCTTAAGTCGTAAGAAATTGACCAACTACTACGGTCGAATATGAGGAGAATAATCTACTATGATTTATTCGGAAAAATAAATGGTAATGAAATGTAAAAATTCGTGATGCTATCGTAATGTCGCGATGGTAATATCCGGTTTCCATATCTCTAAAATGATCGTTGTGCTGGTATACGAGGTTCTGATGGTTTCATGAAAAAGACCGGCTGCTCTCAGATCAGCTTTCTATTTATATTCAAGCGGGAAAGATTCCAGATAACATTTATGTTACATTCAAGATATCTGAAAGACGTCTTGAATGTCTTGTGTCTAGAAGACGTCTAAAAGACGTCTGTTAGATATCTTATGTAATATGCATGTTAATTATCTGCATAGGATTATTATATGCTCCACACAATCAAAGGAATAGGGAACAGAGAAGATAGAGAATAAGAATTTCAATCTATCAGAAACCATGTACTGTTGAATACAAAGTACCTGATAAGATTGAAATTCTTATTCTTTGTTCTCTATCCCTTCGATTGTGCAAAGCCTCTAACACACAACATTTCTGTACCTGGATGAAACACCTTCCCTATGGACATCGTGGTATAACCATTGTTTTTTAGGTGTTCTGGCAATGTAGTGTAATTACCCACCGCGTCGCGCCAGTAACTGTAAAAATCGTAAAGTCGAAGGGTATCCGGTCTTCTGCTAGTCAGAAAGGAGTTTCTACTGGGTGCGCATAATGCTTGCTGCAAAATATGTGTGATCATTCGTTTTATATATATATATTCGAAAGAGAAAAGACGAAATAGTTCAAAGATCGCAAGTTAAAATAACCTTGTAAAGAACACAGACCTGTGCGAATGCTTCAGTGAAAACGATGCCATCCTCAGCCAAGGCATCTATATTTGGTGTATAAGCATTGGCGTCACCGTAACATCCCAGAGTAGTCCTCAGATCGTCTACAATGATCAGCAAGATGTTTGGGTGCGCGGTGGTAGCAGCAACATTAAATATCAGTATCAGCGCAGCTACAACAATATTAAAACAGGCCACGAAAAACATTGTGTGATCGTTGATGTATGCAGCTTGGAAGGAAAAAAAATGTTTTCGATGGTGTATTAAAAAGGCATTAATTCTCGTCCTCTTTACATGGATGAAAAAATCTGCAACAAAGAAGAAAATTAAATATACAGATTGGTTGAAGTTATCAGATGACAGAACATTTTAGAAAAATTTGGAAGATAAGATCACAAAGAACACAAGATAAAATTCAAAAAGTTAATAATTAATATAAGGAAAAGCAAGAACCCTAATAGCACACTTTATTCGAGGGACGTTCTGGCGAACATTCTTGGGACATAGGGATATCCTCTGAATGGTCTATGGAACATTTCTTGGAGATCTGTGCTATTAGGGAAGATAATTTTCAAAATGAACTAAACAGGAATAAATTAATTTTAAGATATATGACAAAAAAAGTTAATGCACAAAATGAATCATTACTCGAATATCTGTGTTTAAAGAACAAACGTAATAATTTAATTAGTAACAAGGACAGAAAATTAAAACATCCGACACTTATCCTTAATTCATCAGGTAGTCCCGTCAGTCAAGATAAATAAAGAGAAGATTATAATCAGCAGCAGAAACCAAAATTCCTGTCAATGGGGAAAATAACCGTCGTCAAAAGTCTTGTCGGTTTGGACAGGCGAGAAGGAGATTATTAACAGAACAAAGAAGCCCTGTCCAAGAAAAGTTCAATATTTAAAACAGGGTACCTATCATGTAATATATCGGAATGGATTCCGATCGGAATTATTCCGTTTTCCCTAGAAAACACAATAGAAATCTAGGGAATAATTGAATATTTCCGATCGGAATCGATTCCGACTTGTTCTATGATAGGTACCCAAATCCTGCCAATTAATTCGAAAACAAAAGATAAAATCCAACAGTTACATATCTAAAACAGAAAGAAAAGAAATTAGAAATAAAAAGTAAGTTGTCACAAAATAATAGTAACAGTATAATACATTCTAATAAAAGACATATAGACATATAGAAAATAGTAAAGTTGATGAAGAAATGGCAACCGAAAGTTACAAAGTTATAACTTTCGATTCTTTCAACATCGATTCTTCCATAGAAGAATCGATTCAAGTATGGCAGAAAATACGAACAAGTATACGAACCTAAATCTAAATTTAAAACTGTATAAATTAAAACAATTTAGAACAAATGAAGGTTAAGTGGCTCTTGGTCTTTCATTTGTTTTAAATTGTTTTATACTTGTGGAGTCTTATTATTGCTTATTATTATATAAATTAAGATTCGTTATATATATAATATATAATATATTATAAATAATATAAATAAATGAATAATATAAATAAATTATAAAATATAAATATTTATAAAAGTATAATAAATTAAGATAATAAATATAAATAATGATACTCGTAAAAACAAAAAAAAAGAATAGAGATTTCGATAGAAAATAGCATAGAGCAAAGTAACAGCGAGCACCAATCAAACTGCGCGATACACAAATCGATAGAAAAGGATATGCGACATCTGTGTGTGATACCTGCCGAACAGTGCAGCCACACTTGCAACAATCCGTAGATTATTAAAAAAAACAAGTGCAACCTACTATGCAACAGTCTCATTCGAACACCCGAGAATAAGTATGCGAATGTTGCGCAAATTTATCACAATGACCGAACGACACGAAAAAACATGCAAATCCCTATCAGAAATGAGAAGGGAAGAAGAAAGGCTACTCAATGAAATCGAGAATAGAATAAAATCATGCGAGCAAAAACGACGTTTGAGAAGTGCAGTAGAAAACAGAGTCAAAATATTACGTGAATTCATACAATCGATATCGCCGATCCCGGAAGACGAAGGAACTGATGAAGAGGATTTTAACCATTCGGAAGATGAAAGTAACAAGGACATTCGAGTCACTCAACTGATCAATGAATATCGCAAAGCAAGTAATAAGAAACACATCGGTGATACATACCAATACGAAATAAAAAGCATTACCGGCGAGCCATTATGCCGCGTAACGACAGCGTTTTTAATACAAAAATATCCAACGAGTGAGCCGGAAAAGAAACGAGCATATCGCATTGTTTACGATGTAGTAGAAGGCGAAATTTACAGATACGCATACGAAATTATCCCCCAAGACGCGATTCAATTCCAACAAGCTATGCGGATGCAACCGGGAGGATTAAAAGACTTGCCACTCTATTCGCAGGTACAGAATCAACCGGTAAAAATCGAAATAACGAGTCACTCCACACATGAGATACAATGGCCAAAATTTCCATATGAAGACATTTCAACAAATACAGACAAGTCAGATAAAGATTATTCACCGACACAGAAAAAATCGACAAATAAACGGGCGATAAATATTAAAACATTAAAACAAAAATTAGATGCTTTGTACAGGAAAGGAAGACCAAAAAAGAAGGCAAAACAACCAACACGTCAAGACCAACCAGACGGTGAGACGAGAATTAAGATTATTACTTTTAATAATACAATAATAAATTTAATAGACTTACTTCACATAAATGACTGTAAAATTATATGACGCTTTGCCTACTACCTTTGGCAGCTAATATATATAAGAGGAATGGTCTGAAGGAAAGTAGAGTAAATTTAATGCTAAAATCGCTCAACTGTTAATATGTAAATCGTTCATAACTAAATTTATTATTGTTGTACATTGAAAATGACACAAACGTTGTCGAAACATATGTGTGTATTTTATAAATATTAAAGTTAATGTTTTTGGCTCGTGTAGCCCTTCTTTTAATTGTATTGTTTTAAATTAAATAGAGACGATAGAATAATTTTAAATAATCATAAATTTTTAATATTTTCTCATTTTTATAGCAAACACATCGACCATCGTTAAACAATGTACTCGAAACCTGGATTCGTCAAGTTCTTCGTAGGCGATGAATTTACGATCGCCCTCATTCGCAGCTCGGAACGATTCAATGTTGATTGGCGATGTAAAAATGCTAGCAGTTGTATTAGATAAAATCCCGGTGCCAGAAATTTTGCCAGAGCAAATTTTGAAGGGTACATTCTTTATTTTCGTTGGAGCCAAACATTCAGAGGGTACCGGAGGAAAGATATCAAAAGAATAAAGACAAAAAACTAAAAAAATGTAAATTAGAGTTAAGAAAAATATTTGTGGTAAGTGAAAAGTGAAACTAAATTTTATTTTATGTAGTCATAAATTAAGTTGTTTTATAACATTTTAATTCGTAAGATAAAGATGATTAAAGATATAATATTTTGTAAGCGTAAAGAACTATAAAATATATTTATCTTATATTAAATACGTTCTAAAAATCTTCTAAATAATTAAAAGACAAAGAAATAAAAAGATAAAGTTAGTTAAAGTCAGGAGATATAAATTGTATATATTATAATGCGCGATGATTATGTTATTAACTTCACTGATGATTTTTAAGTTGCAGCAACGCCCTGGAATCTAAAAATGAAAAGAAATAAATGAACAATAATAAAATCAAAATACCGCGATCCTTGTCAACTGCACTTTCCGTTAAATCCGTTGATGTAGACAATTTGAAGAATCCCACGAAAAGAAATTTGAATATTAACTATTTTTATTTTAAATCCGAGATTGTAGTCGCGCTATAGATGGCGTAGCAGACTTTCGGGCCGCGTTCTGCTTCACTACCAGTGTTGAAAACCTATATAATATATGTAACGTATATTATAGATTTTCAGTATTGGTACTGCTGGCAGTGAGTACCGGAACGCAGCCACGATATTTACTTAAAAAAAAAAAATAAATAAAATAAAAACAAAATCGATATATCAATCTCCAAAAATATTAGCAAAAAATAACCGATATTTTCTAAGTCGGTAAAAATCGCGCGTTCCTACTCCACCTACTCGTGACGCTCGAGTTTCGCTCCGATTTATCTCGATCGTTCGCCGTCTCCCGCCTCTCGGCCCCACGGAGTAGACCTACCTGTCGAATCAGCTGATTATTGTTTTCGTTCCTCTGATATGGAGCAGACCGTAGTAACGGCGCAACGAAGCGTATACTATATATATGCCTAATCCGCGCGCTCTCATCCGTTTCTGTTTCCGAGAAACCGTGAGGAGCACCGAGTCTCTCTCCCTTCCTCTTTCTCCTTCACTCCTTCATTGCCTACGTGTGCGTGCGTGCGTGCGAGGGAGGAGGACGGAGTACGGACGCGCGTGTATCGTACGTGCCGTAGTCGCTTCACGTTCACGGTACCCGCCGTGCCAGCAACGAGAGCCGCGAGAGGAACGGCCGAGCGGAGGAAAGGACGCGAGAGAGAGAAGAGAGCGAAGTCACGGCGTGCGGTTGTGAAATCACCCGACTTGACTCCCGTCATCCGTCAG